ATATGCAGTATGACGTTTCTTCAGTCTGTTAAGGGTGCAATTTTACCTGGGTTCATGCCCAGGTCAGCTGCAACTGCATAAAATGAAAGATAGCTATGTATTTCCCCCGTACCCCCGCCCATCTACCTATTGCTGCTTTCACATAATATAACCTCATGTAGCTGCAAAAGTTGACCATGTTTTCACTACTGAATTCTAGATGGCAAAATAGCACAAACGCGTAAACGAAAGGCATAATTTTAGGAACATTTTCCTCTAAATTTGTAATTATTCAGAACTAAATTCATTGATATCAGTACGCGGCAGATTTCTTCCACTTACATATTGTTAATGTGCCTCTGCATAAAACTTGTTTATTCCATATTAAGTTTGAAAGAAAATTCTTAATATTCAGATATTTTGAATGAAAGTTTGGAATTAGCAAGGTTTTACTGTTATTTAATCGGCGCAATCAAGTCATAGCATTATTATTACAATGCTTTTAGACGCCGGAAGTAAAGTTCGTTACATCAAGTTGTAGTAAGTTGGTGTCTAACGACCACTGCGCAGAGAACTTGCCACATATTGTTTTAGACCATGGTTGTCGGTACATTGTTGAACTTAGAGCGGATTGGTCTTAAATTCAAGGTCTGATCAGAGTTACTCACCCTTCTTTCTTCCGATGTCGATAAACGAGTACCACTTTGTGGGAAGGACGCAGGAGACTACGCGCTACACCTGCCTTAGGGCTGTAAACTTTGTCTTTTAAAAAATGGGGTACTTTTGGTTGATGGCATAGAAACGGAGATCAGCACAGCACCACCCAATTTCATGAAAAGAAGGGCGTCAAAATGACCCAATCAGGAAGACCGATATTTCAACGTTGACCAACTTTCCTTTCTTTTCCATGCCTTGACAGTTTTTGAATCATTCTTGTCAGCTTCGGTAGTTCTCGATTCTCGAATATTAAGCGGAAAAGCATTGAGCAAGATTGTTGTTAAAGTGATTGTCTTCTTTACACTTGGATTCATTTACATGATGGACTATATCTGTGACACTTAATGATCCAGCCCTGAGCTACAATGCTTTGCAGTCAAGCAGAATTGCATTTCTTTAAATTTCTTTTTCTGTGTCTGCGGCTACCTGCATTGTATTTCTACGTCGAAAGGATGAAAAGCGGCTAACCCGGCCGGAATCTGAACCCGTAATCTTTTGACAGAACTAACTGAATATGATTACTGAGAAAGGTTAATCTGATGAACTTCCATTTTGCCTGGTGGCAATATCCCTGATAAGTGAGGCAGATCCTCAAGTTAACTGGTGTTCAATGAGATGATCTGATGAGTGATCATTTTTTAGGGCACGAAAGCACAGTTTCTAGCAGCAAAGGCTTTAAAGAGGCAGTCATGGCGGTTTCACACTAAATACATGATGTGGTTTCAGCGGCACGAAGAACCGAAGACGATCACCGACGAATACGAACAGGTGTGGTTGTCAGGATGTTTTGTCATTTCTAGCGTTATTGATATGAAGCGCTGTTTCAGGGAACGTATATTTACTTTGACTTCGAGAAATGGTCTCAGCGAAAGAAGGAAGGCTTCACGTTCGAGTATCGCTACCTGGAAGATCGCGATCTGTCGTAGTGTTGCAACGCCTGCACCGACCGACTGGAGTCCACTTCTTCCGTTCTGCATCTTCATCGGCGCACAGTGGCTTCATCGTCGCTGCTGCTCTCCCTCCAATTACATCGGCATGGAAACAAAAGATCCCTTCCTTGAGTTCTCCTCGTCAGTGCCCTCCTTTCTTCAGTGGTGTCCTCAAGTACGCAGCTGACCGCCATTGTTGATCTCCTGTTCTGGTCGGTTGCAGCATGTGTACGCTATGGTGTAAATATAGGCAAACGGTCAAAAGAAGTCGCTGTCCTCGTTCATCATCTTTGTCATCGTCACTGAAACAGACGCTACAAATGCAGCTGTCTGTTTTCTTTCATACATTGCATATACTTTACTGTTTTTTGACTGTGATACTTTGTTGCGCATTATTCTTTGCGTTGTTGTTTTCCCATTCGTCTGTTTTTCAGATTTGAAAAAAATCTGCCTGTAATGCAATAACAATCATGAGTAAAATAAACATTCGTCATGTCTAGTTTTTTATTCTACTTTTGCCGTAGTGACCACGGTTTCTCTATTATGCCGTAAAATTATTTTATTGTTGCTTATGATTGTTGTATTGTGTTTGCGCGTTATGGTCGCTGTTTAGATTCGCTACAATGAGTCAAGTGGCGAGTTTCGTTGACTCTGCAGCTCCACAGAAAAGAACAAAAAACCGCAAGGTGTTTTACAAGTCATCTTTCAAGCGCCGGAAAAATTGTCACGATGTGTTGACTGCCGGGGCGAAAGGAATACTATTTACGTGCGGTAACAAGGAGGAAAATCGATGCATTAAAGATTCTCTGTCCATTATCAGGCATTTCATCAAGAAAAAAGTGAGTGTTTTAAATGCAGGACTATATCTGTAAGTTTGGCTTGACGAAAGGATGTTCTAGAGCCAATAAAATTTACCAATATCCGTCGGCAAAGATATCGACAAAATATACACTATGATTTCGAAGTTCTAGGGTAGCTATTACACGGTAGCTTTTCAATTTGAAAGCGCCGTTATTCAGCCCAGCTCAGATGTGGTCCTGCGTTCAGTGTACTGCAGGTGTATAAATGCTGTTGAGCCGTGGCCAGCTTAAACAGTCTCCATATGCGAAAAGAGACAAACGAATGCCGCACTTACGCTGAGTAAATCCGATATAAG